TAGGTTTTTACAATCACTAATCGAGAATACGAGTGTGGATTTACTAGATAAGCAAAACGGTGAGGAGAAATTGAGGCCAATGTTACATTATGCATTGACAAGAACCAAACTAAATTTATTAAATAGAGAATAAACTCGGGAAATAACAAATAGGATGTCCGACGGATTCAGCAGAGAAAGCATGATGATACATTTCAGATTCGAGTTCTCCGGTCACCACTTTCCGCCTGTCACAAGTATCAAAGAACATCAACGTCTTCTTCTTCTTCTCACCATCATCTAAAAGTGCTAGTGGCAAGAGGGCGCATAGTGCTGAGATACGATACCAAAAACAAGTCCAATCCAGATGTATGGACCACGTTTTTCCCACGTCTTGGTGGCTGAATGGAAGGACCATATCACTTGGTCGGGCCAAACCGTGTGGGATACGCACAAGCGGTTGGCGAGGCTGCACATGACGATATCGTGAGGATGTGCATCGGCAAAGGGAGCTTTAGCGGTGACTTTAAAAGCCTCGGTGTGAAGATCAAGAGATACAAATTTTGGTTTCTTGGCAGGCTGTGAACCAATGGAGCGACCCTACAGCAAACACATGAAAAGGGCAATCGCAAATCCGATAAGGAGCAGAGGGAGTGACATACCTCCAAGCGTTGGTGTTAAAATCGAAAACTTCGCATGTAGTAGCGTTTTCGAGGCCTATTTCTAAATAGTTGTATAGCCAAACATGCTTGTATGTTGCAGTGAATATGTCTTTACCGAATGCAAGGTCGGCGTATGCGTGTCCAAGGTCAGAGTAAACGGCTCCTAAGTCGATCATGAGTTGTTGTAATCGGCTAGTGGTGGGGTTGACCACAAAACCAGGTTTGCGAGGACCGTAGAATACCGTCGCAGCTGCTTAAGGAAACCTTGTAATTTGCATCGGTCCAAGGAGTCGGGATATTGACCGCAAATTTGGAACCCAACACAAGTGTTGTTAGAGAAACTGGGTCCAAGGTAGGACGATCCAAAGGACGTGCAGACACCATGAGCTGGATTACCTGATAGCTCACGGTGCTTATACTCTCTTGGAGCCAACGGGAGTCGATTGTTGATTTCCATTGTTTGGATACAAGTTTAAATCTCAATAGAGATTTCACCGGAACTCTCTCCATGATGACATCTACCACATGGTGGGGCAGCGATTCCATTCTCAAGCAATGTTTTTGCATTTTTCACATTCTTGTTTTATCTCAGACAACTATTGATGAAGACCCTTATTTATACAGATAAACCCTCAAGGAAAAAGGAAATCTTTACACTTTTATTATCCTAAATTTTCACCTAATCAAAGGGAATCTGGAAAGAGTATGTCCTTTGTTACTTACTACACAGGTAACGGCACATAAACAAAGTGGCTGATTTAGAAGTCGTTTTGGTATAAACTAATAACAATATAACATCCTTTAATCGGGCCTGATTTAGAAGTAATTACTATTATGTGGGTCATTTTGCAAAATCTTTTAAACTTAATTGGAAGCTGAAACAAAGACCTTTACAATCGGAATTCGAAAAACCCTAAATCGACCAAAGCGAGATCGTCGATCTAATAGCTCGAGCTTTTCATCAATCGGAATATGAAAGGAAGTTGGTCGATCGTCCGTCAGGTTTTTCACCGCCGCTTCTCCACACTCCGGTCCTCGACACCATCGTCGCGATCCTCCGCGTTGTCCAGTCCCGTCCGATCTCTTAGTTTAGCCCCAAACTCGATGTCGACGCTGATCACCAGAAACGCGATTTTTAATGCCTCTAGTATCAGCGCTTCCGGCGAGTCTAACTTCTCCAGCACCTCTCTTCTTCGCCGGAGAAGGCTCTGTTCGGAAGCAGGAGGTAATCGCTCAATTGGCTCTGTTCGTTTCTGTGCATTTGCGTAATCATTTGTAATTTGCATCGAGTTTATGATTAAACAAGTATCGTTTTTGGGCTAAAAAAAAACGAGATTGATCAGAGAAATAAGCTTGGGTTTATCTATGTGAATCAAATTACCATGCGCCTCCACAAAATTGAGAATTTATCTGTTCGCAAAGACTATAATTTCGAAAGTGCTTGTAACATTTCTATGTTCGAAAATGAAAATAACCCTGCAATTTCGATTTTAGGTCAAAACGGTGTTGTTATAGTGACATCAGAGGAAGAGTTCGTCAATGCATTGAGCAAAGCTCAAGGTAATAGCATCATTTGACGCGTTGTAACTACTTACTTTTCATACTAAGTGTATGATATTTGCTGCTTATGTTGTCTGTTCTTGATGTTATCTGTATTCAGATGGATCTTTACCCTCGATCTTCTATTTCACTGCCGCCTGGTGTGGACCATGTATGTCATTTCCTTAGAAAGTGAGTTTGGTTCTTGATAATATATTTTCACTGCGAGTGGCTTTATTAGTTGGTATTCTGTTTAACTATAGGCAGGTTTATCTCTCCTGTGATCGTGGAGCTTAGTGAACAATATCCTGATGTAACAACATATAAGGTCGACATTGATGAGGTATGCGGAATTGCTGTGGTTTTGAACTTCATGTGTATATGTCTGTTTTCGTTGGGTTTATTAATGTTATATGTCTGGATCGCCATACAATAGCCGAGCTTCATTTCCGTTCTTTGCACAATCTTCTGTTCTCATGCATGTCCGCTTAAAACTTAACTAAAAAAGATATCGTCTGTGTAGGGCGGGCTTTCAAACACTATCAGCAAGTTGAATATCACGGCTGTGGTGAGCTACACAACCTACATTCTACAATTAGCAGGAATAACTTATGTTTAATATGTATAAATACAGTACAAGCATTTTTATATCGAGCTCATGTACATTTATGATGCAGCCAACACTGCAGTTCTTCAAAGAAGGCTCGAAGAAAGAAGAGATTGTGGGTGCAGATGTTGCAAAGCTGAAGAATCTCATGGAGCAGCTCTACAAGTGAAAGACCAATCCGTTCTACTGAACTAAGTGTTGAATAGTTTGCAAGAGATAGAGTGTAGTTTGAGAGACTAATACGAGTCCAGTCGTAACAAGGTCAAACATTTCCCCTTTTTCCATAACTAGCCGAATGAATTAAAACCGGTTAAGTCGGGTCGACTGAGCTGGGCTGATATGGTTTTGTTGAGTAGCCCCATGTGATATTCTCCATATACTATGAGTAGATTGAATCAAATGGTTTAAATAGTGGTATACAAAATTAGAATTATTACATTAAAATCAATGCAAACGCTAAAAAAAAACCCAACTTTTAGTTGAAGATGATTTGAAAATGTTGGGAAAATGTAAACAATTTCTATGAATGATTAGTATCAAATCAAAACCATCCGAACCAATCACTCGCACTTTGACTGCAGTGTCACTGGACGGCTATAAGTGGGGCCTATATATGGAAAATTTCATTTTGCAAATTACGCCATATGTAGTGGAATCAACAAAACCAGTATTTGTTTGATCTAAGAGTCAAGTGGTTATCTGGTTTTACCCTTATATCCGAATTTTGTACACTTCTCAAATGC